TGGAAATTGCCAACGTGTCCCCAGACGCATGTATCTGTAGCTATGTCTATGAAGAAGAAGCGTACGTCATATCAAGATACAAAAGCGAATGAATAGTAATTTACGTACCGGAACCCAAGCGTTCCAAGAAACGAGCGCACGTTTTGACCAACCGACACGGCAATTTGGCTTCGAAATGGTACGCCAAGTGGGGCACTGCCGACATGCTCAGACATTTTCTTGCGCTCCCATCGTCCAATATATCGTAACTCCCTGATCAGTAATGTCACAATTTCACGCTGACAATTATTCCATGTGTAGCTCACCACTTTTGTCCTCCATCAGACGGCATTTCAACAGCTTTTCCTTGATATGTTGTAGAGCCCGAAAACACATGGCGCGCACGAACTTCGTAGTGAGGCACGCCAGCAATGTATTGAGGACATTTGTCGTCAAAATTGTAAACATACTCTTTGTATGCAATGTCTTCCTACCACGTCACCAAGCAAACAAAACTAAAGTGATCTCTTGAATGAAATATCTATTATGAGCAGCATAGGTGCGTCTTACTTTGACAACATTCTCGTCGCACAGTCCGCTGAGGCGCTCGACAAATGAAGGAAAGTGCTTGAAATTCTACTCACAAGATCAATATACAACCACATTTAATTAGTCTCTATCCTATTTTAAATTGTTCTCATTTCCTTATGAGGCTGTACGCACCACTTCCCCTTGCAAAATGCATTCGAAGCACTTGCCTATTCGTGCCATATTAGCTTGAACGTGAAAATGACAATAAGCGGCATATTCTATTGGATATTAATTTAAAACCAAAAACTTTGTAAGGGCATGTTGTTGGTTGAAAATCGATGCACAGTAGTGAAGGTTAGAACTAAACTTCCAAGCGAGATGGTGTGGAATCGCGTCAGGTTTCCAAATATGGCAGTGACTTTCATGGGCAAAAACGCACGCACACGATTGCGTGATAACCAGTATGTTTTCCGTGTAGAACCGAATTACACCAAGCATGAAATCAAAGAATATTTGACGAAGGTTTACGGCTTGCCGGTAACCAAGGTCAACACAATGAACTACGAGGGTACGCTCAGCAGTAAAGTTTAAGGATAGAGCAATGGTATGTTATCTTACTCGCTGCAATTGTGCTCGTGTAATTACTAGGTAAATTCAAGCGTGCATTTCGTGGTCGCTACGTGTACAAAGAAAAAGACTGGAAGAAGGCTATTGTGACAATAAAGGAGTAACTTTGGCGGGGACATGTCTTGACTTGGACGTGCAACAGGTAGTGACTTTAGTGCTATGTTAATTGATTTCACTAGAGAATGGATACAATAAGGCTTATCGCTCGAGTCATCAGGGTTAAGACATTTAATCCTGTGAATATACGTATCAATGCACACTGCGCTTTTTTTGGTCGACAAAATGAACACATGCAAGCGCAGATACTCCACTGCTCCGTTGTTATACCTGGCGTACTAGATGTACTGGAAATCTCTTAAAAATTTACGCTCCTTGATGCAAAACCTATAAGCCATCACAGGCGCCATCATCGAAAGGTGCGGGATGCTCTGGTCACCTTGATAGCAAAAGGCTACTGCACTCCCACGAGTATTTAATCTTGCTGGCTAACGTCCTCGAAGTTGTCCACAAGGTCCGGGACGTCGTCATCATCGTCGTCTGCAACGGAAGCCGAAGCAGCCTTCGCAGCCTTCTGAGCCGCCGTGTATGACTCTGCAATCTGCTTAAGGTTTGCAAGATTGTCCGGACCCAATTGATTGATAATTCCCGGCAGAAGCTCCTGCAGTGACTTCGTCTGGTTGAAACCCGACACGGCAAACGTGTTAGAGGAAATCGAGGCCTGCACCTTGGGGGCTAGAAAGTGAATGACTTGACCGTCTGCCTTGAAGAAATTCACTTCCTCGACACCAGGGATTGGTGTCAATCCTAGCTTCTTCAAAACTCCACCGAGCTTCTTATCGTCGACCGACGCAGTCTTGTGGATAGCTTTGCGCTTTCGGCGCACCGTGCCTTTTCCACCCGTGCGCACATCACCAAACTTGGCCGCAAGGCGTTCCCGCGCGAGAGTGATAGCGTCAGCCATATTTCTGTCGTCATTTTGAAAGTCACGGGATACAATCAGTTCTACTGTTTACAATGAAGTACTAGATCGTCAGATACAAGCGAACGAAGCATTCCGTTCGTTATCGAACGTGCATCCAATTCTAGACTTCCATGGAAATACTGACAGACATTTGCGAGGACCTACCTGTGGAAATCTGGAGTAAATTAATAGGCCAGGCAAAAGTGATGCTGCTTCTGTGAAGACCAGACGAATTGATGGCTGGGCTAAATCGTGGCTTAAAATAGGGCCATGGCTGATAAATGTAAGGCAAGAGATACACCTTAATAAGGGTCGGGTTCGGGCGCTACCAACCAATGATGAATTAATAGTATTCAATTGGTCATAATTCATATCATTTTTACCAATCGATGGCAATTCACATCCACCTGTAGGACTTCATGAACCAAGATGACTTTCGGCAGATGGTATCAAGCCGCGAGGGCAACAATGCGGCTCAAACTAAATATGGGGGCAAGCGAAACTTATCTGAAGCAGATCTTGCTGAAGTGAAGAAGTTGTCAGCAAAGATGAGGAAGAAAAAGCTCAAAAAATCAAAAATTGCCATATCATCAAACGTCGCTGATGCGATTGACCATCGACAGCCTCTAAGTCAATATCGAGACAGAGCTGCTGAGCGACGCAGAGGTAAAGCGGGTGAAGAGCAGAGCAAAGTATCAACCGGAAATATGGAGCATTCTTCTCTTGTTAAAGGGCTGGACTACGCGCTGCTTGGTCAATTGAAGCGCGAAAAGCAAAGTCTATTAGCTGAAAAGCGAAAACTCATCAATGAAAGTGATACTGAGAAATCAACCCCCCCAAAGAACCAAAACGATACCATTACATTTAAAACGGGATTGGGAAGACTTGTGTTTTTCCATGCTTGTCAGAGTACTCTGGATAATACGAAATCCGTGAAGTCGGAACTGTTTTTACCCGGTAGAATGTATTACACGTATAATCTCTCACCAACTGAGATTGAGAGTGTCCCTGTAAGTGTCCAACGAAGTAGAGAAGACTGCCCTGACTCTGATGAAGTCGTTACTGGACTTGTAGACGACTCCATTATCGCCCGAGTGGCTGAAATTACTGTTAACAGATTGAGCACCAAGAAAAAGGAGAGAAAACGAAGGGAATGTCATGTTTCTCCTGAAGAGACACAGAACGATGGGATTGGTTCAGAATCGGCCAAGACTGACATTACGATGGTTGAAGCCGAAGTGGTTGTTGATGTTGATGATGATGACGAAGATATTTTTCCTGATATGGATCCATACGTTCCGATTGATCAGCGCCCAGTCAAGACATCGCTTGGGCAAGAAAGAGAAGATGAATTAAAAAAAGCAGGGTACTTTTCAAATCTAAGTGCGGCTATCACTGAGAAAGAGTGTGCCGCTCGAAAGAAAGAGGAACAATTGTGGAAAGGAACACTGCACAAGGCAGTGGAAGCACAGCATCAGATTGAGCGCGAAAAAGAGCGAAGGGCTAAAGAGGCCAAAATGATTGGTGAAGCCGATGATTATGCCGAGTACCAAGACATTGGTGGATTAGGCGATAGTGACGATGATGATGACGAGGAAGCAGCTCGACGTCGTAAAGCAGCCGGACTAAGCAAAATTAACTGTGATCCAGAAGAAAAGTTTCGTCGAAAAAAGCAGAAACAAAAAAGCAAGCTTGCGAATGACCTTGAGAAAATCAACAAGGTAAGATTAACAAGCATTTTTTGCTTGACAGACTCTCAAAACCTCCTTCTGTGTCTTTTGTAGATCATGGCAGAGAAGGCAAACAAGTCATAAGATGCGATCTGGAGCTCAAATGTGAACAAGTATTAATACCGGTATCATTACCAAGCAGAAGTTTAAGTCACAAAAAATTGTATTGCTAGTTAAATATCGATTTCTTGCTTGCTATCATTTTGTACGGGTTTTCCAACGATATCTTCTTCGAAGCGTCACAAAAGGATCCGATCTGCGGAAGCAGGTCACTTCTCCTTCTACGTGACAAAGGACTTGACCATCACTTTTTCAATCTTTGACAGCAAACAAGCTCTTTAGATCTCGTTTGCATATCTCAGTTTCATATAGTCACGACAGCAATGGCAGATTTAGAGCGCGACGGGTTTGGCTTTCTGTACGAAAATCGCGACCCATGCAACGCCATTGCGCTCTTACAACTTGGTGTGACGCTTGTATCGTTCTTTTTTACTTACACGGTATGGTGGTCGGGTCTATTCGGCATTATCGTAGCCTCCATTGGCTATTACGGATCCGTGCAGCCCGTTATTCAGAGCAAAGTCAGCTTTATCCAATTTGTACGTACCTAATTAGTCTTTGTTCTGTTTACCGAAATACTAACACCACTTGTCATGATATCAGTACTACTTTGGCAATTGCTTTATGTTGATGCTGCAAGCCATTTCGGCTGTTATGCTGTACCTCCTCGTGAGTGAATGGAAGCACTTTGACTCATGGGCTTATGGCATCATCATCTTTGGAACGATGTCGTTTATTGTTCAGATTTTCATCACGTACGTGGCAATTCAACGCTCGTATGCGTACCGAGCGGAGCTCATGAGAAACCCTCCACCGGCAGAGAACGTATATGGAAATTCGGACGGCACTATGTATACTGCTATGGGATCGGGTTACAAAGCTCCAATGGCTCAAATTAAAACCATCTAAGCAAATGATGCCGCATCCTGAGTCTCTTGACTGCCAATTTAAGTTTTTAAAGATAGGTTGCTGGCTTGTAAAGTTGAAAGAGCCAATAATGATATTTGCTACTGTGCACCAAGCTTTTATCAATTTTTCGAGGTATCAACGTGTTTCACACATGATTCATTTGTCTGCACGCGCGTAACATGTAGAAGGTTGTAGCTATGCTAAGTCGAGTAGCTACCAGGCAGTTTGAAGTTAATAGATGAGTACCGTTAAACTTTCGATAATTCATTCAGATAGTTTTTGTCATGCTGCATACCTTGTCCCGAATAGTGTCAGAATATAATCTAGCTCTTCATGCAAAATTCACAAATGCTTAATCATTACATTTGGGACGTGAGTTTCCAAGACAAGATTATCTGAATCTTACTGAAATCCTTTCTTCTCCCACAAATCAACCGTGTCGTTATTTATCAGTCGACGTTGTGACTGATTATGCAAATTCCGATAGAATTATCTCTGGAATTCCGACAAGGTGTGAGAAGAGTTCACAAAGCTAATTGCCTCCAAGAACGAACTCCAAGGACAAATTATGAAGGTTACAGCTTTTGTCGTTGCGGCAGCCCTTGCTGCAGCATCTGTTATCGCGACTGAAACTCCTACTCTACGAGCTCTGGCTGATGCAGACCATGCACCTGCTCCAGTTGCCGAATTCAGTGATCAAACAGGCCCAGAAGCTCCTTTGAATGAAGATGATAAGGAGTGGGGAGGTCATGGATGGGGACACCATGGACGGGGTTGGG